CCCTAGGAAACATGGCAAATTCTAAGAACTTGTTTTCACAGAAAAAAAAGTTAAAAATAGAAAGCTACAGTCCTTTTTTGAAGTCACAGAGGATCCTACTCTGATGTATAGACATTAGAGCCAGAAAAATACTTTGAAGTGACCAGTGAAGCTCCTTATCTCACAGACAGGGTGAGGGAGGAACAGGGGAATTGTGTATCCAAGCATACTTGGGATGGTATAGGTGGCTGATACGAGTGTCGGTGGAGGTGGTGGTTGGCGTTTGGAGTACCCTAATCTTGTGACACTAAACATTTATTGTTATACTAACCCCACTGCCCACTATCAGGAGGTTTTAACTTTTCTTACTGTGTCTTAGTCTCCATGGCACCCATACACTGTTCTCCCCATGTCCCTGCATCATTCCTCTCCCACAGTTGACGTGTGGCTCTGTGCTATGGGTGTGGGCCTGCCTCTTCTCTCTCAGAATGACCACTGTTTCATGCTTGGTGAGCCACGTGGTATGTTGAACTGCCATCTCTGACCTGGAGAAAGGATACCCTTACTATCACAGGTGGGGCGTGTCATGGGACAGCCTTCCTGGTTTTCCTTGGCAGGGATATTTTTCTCATTTTTTTCTCTCCTCCCTTCTCTTTTTCTCTCCCTCTTAGATTTATTCTTTTCCTTTTCTTTCTCTTGCTTTGCTTCTGCCTTAGATCTACCATGGGACCCAGGGAGCTTTGGAGCCAAAGAGGTAGCCTACCCTGAAGATCAATGAAAGCACATGTGTTCACTTGATAGCTGGCACTCACTAAGCTTTTCATACAACCCCAGAGTGTGAGCTTTTTACAGGTGTTATCTCTTTTAATCTTCAAAATTCTTTACCTATCAGGCATTACCATCATTATCTGCATCTTACAGGTAAGAAAGGGAGGCCCATGCAGATTAAGAAACTTGCTCAGGGCCACACAGGCTCTACATGCAGAGTAAGGGCATTCTCAGGCCAAAATTCATTTTTGGAGCCAAAAGCATACCATGTCTCAGGAGAAGCAGCCTGGATCTCTTGTCTGTTTGGCTTCTGACTCATGCTGACCTGAACTTTCTGGATTTGAGTAACTCTCAGGCCTGTGGAGCCTGATTTCTGTGAGTGGATTTGGCCAGCCACCTTTGGGGAGGTGAACCCTTGCTGGGGGCTTTTGGGAGGTACACTTTCTTCTCGCCATCCCCATTGTAGTAGTTTCTTGGGTCTGCCTTAACAAAATAACACACACTAGGAAACTTAAAACAACAGAAGTTTATACTCTTATAGGTCTGGAGGCAGAAATCTGAATTCAAGGCAAGGGTGGAGTTAGCATTTTCTGGAGGCTCTGAAAAAGAAACCATCCTCAATGTTGGAATTCACTTGGGATGGTTGGCAAAATATTAAAGATATATTGGGAAAAGTTACAGATTAGTCTCACATCTTTTGGAAGGCCAGAAGTTTTATTAAGGCAGGCCAGAGGCGGCTGGCTGGTCCATTAAGTTAGGGAGAAGATAGAGAAGAGGCTTTCCCCAGCTTAAGTCTGTTTAACCCACATCCCTTTGTCTCTGTTTACTCATGTTAACTTTGTGCTGGATGGCCCTCTCCAGGGAGGATCAAAAGGGAATTACCTGTTAATAGTATTTTCTCTGGGCTCCGAACCTAAAGCTTTTATCATTTGTAAAACCACTCTTTTAACCATGTTAATTATCTACCAGTGTGTTGACTTAGAACCTCTGTTATGAATAAATGTGTGGATGTACATGGGATCTTGGTGGATTGCTTGCATTTTGTCTTCTGAAAGCAGCCTACGGCCATCCCTAGCCCACTTGTATCACTGTAATGGTTTGAAAGTGCATTCATTCATCTGTTGTTGAGTCAGGTCTGCAGGTCAGACTTCCACAGGTGGGGGACGACGTCTCACACCTCCCATCTTCTGGTGGCTCCCAGCAATCCTTGGTGCGCTTTAGCTGCCAGTTGCATCCCTCTGGTCTCTGCTTCCTTGGTCATGTGGCATTCTTCCTATGTGTCTCTGCATCTCCAATCTCCTCCTCCATATGAAGACACCAGTCATTGGATTTAGGGCCCACACAGATCCTGCATAAAAAAAAGTTAAAAAAATTTTATTTGGAAATAATTATAGATTCACAGGAAGTAGCAAAGACAGGAAGTAGCAAAGACACAGAGGTCTGATGTGTCCTGCACCCAGTTTCTCCTGACGGTTACTTCTTATGTGATTACAGTACAATATTAAAACCAAGAATTTGACATTGACAAAATAAGTGCATACAGTTCTATGTCATTTTATGAAGTCTAGATGTCTATAACTACCACTGCCATCAAGATACAGAATTATCCCATGATCACAAAGATCTCCCTTTATATTCTCATCTACTCTTCTTTCTCTACCACTCTAACCCCTGGCAACCCGAATCTGTCCTTCATCCTGATAATTTTGTCACTTCAACAATGTTACATAAAAGAAATCACATGGTATGTGACCCTTTGAAACTGGCTTTTTTCACCCAGTAGAAAGTCCTTTGGAATCACTCCAGTTGTTCTCTGTATCAATACTTCATTCCTCTTCATTGTCTCATAGTATTCTACGGTGTGGATATATTACAATTTGTTTGGCCAGTTGCCTATTGAGGGATGGGCTGGCTATTTCCAGCTTTGGCCCAGAACAAATAATCATGAATGTGAACAATCATGTATGGGTTTCTGTGGGGATGTAAGTTTTTATTTCTCGGGGGCAAGTTCCCAAGGATTACAATTCTTGGGTCATATGGTAGGTGTCTTTTGTTTAGTTTTTCAGGAAACTGACAATAATTTTCTAGAGTAGCTTTACACTTTTGTATTCCCACCAGTAATATATGAATGATCCATTTTCACTGCATCCTCACGAACATTTCAGTATGACATAGTTTTGACTTTATTACCTCTAAAAGCACCCTATTTCCAAATAAAGTCACATTTATGGGTACCAAGAGTTAGGAGCTGTGCATACCTTTTTGAAGAACACATTTCCACCTGCAGCACCTGTCTTCACTTGTTTGGGTTATGGGTGGTCTCACTTCAGAATGTTGCCTTCTGAGAAGAAGGTTTGAATTCATAACTGGATTATGTCTGCCTTTGATCATTCAATTTGGCCTCCAGGGATGAGTGAACATGTTCATGTCATTTGAAGGGACATCATAGGGTCTTTCTGACCCCTACTCAAACCTCTAAAGTTTCCAAGATTTGATAATCATCAATATTCTCAAGAGGCAGGAAGACAAGGTGCTTCCTTATGCAGTTTTTCTATGACTGGCTTTCCCTACTGTCCCAGTACTGACAGGGGAAAGGAAAGCAGTGCAAGACAAAGGGATTGTCAGTCAGTTGAGTAAAGAGATGCTGTGTTAATTACTTCTGAACCCTCGTCAGAGTGTAGGTGGAGAGAGGTGCTTAGTAAGGTGTGTTGGATGGATGAGTGGCTGAGAGGGGCAGGGCCAGAGTGCCCCACAGAATGAGGAAGAGTCAAGGTTGGTATTACATGTGCCCCTCCTCCTTCCCAAACATGAGCATTCATACATGGGTTTCCAGTATCTGGGCAGGGTTAACTCTGTTCTCTGTTGCCTTGCTGAAGGTCTGTTTCATTCCATTTCTATGTACATGTGCTCCTAGTTAGCCAAACAGGGCAGAGATGTCAGGAAAATAGCAGGTCTGTTGTTTTGTCTAGCACCATGAGCCCTGGAAGGCAGCCTCATTCAGGACTCAAGAGGGCAGGCTTAGGCAGGTAGCTATTTGATCCCAGGCCCCCACTTACCAGCTACGTGGTCTTGATGTATTACTTATTTCTAGTCACCTCTTCTATCTATTAACTGGGCATAAGATGTTCTTTATATGAAGTTATTTTGAAGCATAATATATATATAGAAAATGCACAGATCATAACTGCACAGCCCCACAATGAGGAACAGAACATTATGGAGACCCCAGAAGCCCCTTCTTGTCTTCTCCCAGGTATTAGCTCACCCTACCTCCAGCTAAAAGTAATTTCCATCCAAATTTCTAATTTTGTTTTACCTGGTTTTGAACTTTATATGGGTGAAAATATACAGAACATATCTTTTGCTTTGAGTTTCTCTTTTGAAGCACCATGTTTATGAGATTCATCTGTGTGAGTAGGTATAGTTGTAGTTTGTTAATTCTCCTTATTGGGTAATCTAATGTATAAACATACTAAAATTTAGTGTTTAACTACCCATTCAATTGTTGGACATTTGGCTTTCATAAATAAAGCTGCTTTGAACATTCTTGCATAGTTTCTTGTGGGGGGGGACACTCAGTCATCTAGAAGTGGGATTGCTGAGTTACAGAATATATTTATCTCTCAGCTTTATAGAACGTTTGTAACATTTTAATGAATGTTATCAACCTCACAGTATAGTGTGGATTAAATTAGGTTGTGGAAAATACTCAAAAAGCCCTTGGCAGAGGTCTGTCAGTAGGTGTTTAAAAGTGTAAATAAGGCACAACATTCCATTAAGTCTAAGTGCCATCATGGACTTAAACAATTCCCTATTGTTTGTTCATTTAGGTAGCTTTTATCATGTTGTTATTTTCTATTGTGATGCAATGAATGATTTTCTTTATAGCAGTTTTCTTCTTTTGAAAATTTGCTTTGGTAGATTCTCAGGGAAGACTGAGTGGAATCAAAGGATATGTGACTGTAAGAACTGTCATTGTTAAAAAGGACTTTGAGGACTTGCTGAAGAGGGGAAAGCAAGGAAGAAAGTCTCTCCTACCATGGCTCAGGAGACTGAGGTGTGAGGACAGGAGGCTTGGGGTTTGAGGGAGGAGTGTCTTGTAGAGGATGATATGGTAACACAGAATGAAAGATAATTTTTATAAATGATGGTGTGCCTTAGGACAACTACATATTTAGGCCCTTATAAGAGAAATCGAGTAGTTGGAAAAACAATGGATAATAACCATTAAATGAAGAAAGAGATACCACATGTGCAAAGATTCACTTTATTTATTCATTCTCCAATATTAGGATAATTAAAGCCAAGAAGGAGGAGAGGAATGAGGTGAAAGATGAGCTGGAAGACAGCAATAGGGGTAGGTCCCTTGTGGGAAAAGGGCCAGAGGCCAAAGGATGGGACGGGGAGAGGCTGGGACTGAGGAGCAGGTGGTGGGCCTGGAGCACTTCTCCCTCTAACACTCTCCTTTACGGAAGCTCTTCGTGAGGGGCGAGGTCAAGCTTTGATGGGTGACCTCACAGGCGTAGACGTTGTGCCTCTGGTATTCCGTGCTGCTCAGCGTCAAGGTGCTGCTGAGGCTGTAGGTGTTGTCCTTGCTGTCCTGCTCTGTGATACTGTCCTGGATACTGTTATCCGACTGGACGACATCATCCACCTTCCACTTTACCTTGGCATCTCTGGGATAGAAGCCATTCAGTAGGCACACAACAGTGGCAGTTCCAGATTTCACCTGATCCTCAGATGGCGGGAAGATGAAGACAGACGGCGCAGCCACAGCTCCTGGGAAAGAAGCAAACAGGATGATGTTTAAATAACAAAATTCTGCACTTGGGTGTGTTTTTTGAGATAATCACAGAGCATGTTAGGGACAGAAAATAGCATGCTTATCCTGGATAATTATAGCAATAAGGCCAGGAAGTATATTTAAAATCTTGATTTTGAGTTTCTTTCTAGCTTCCCCCTCTTCCTTAAGAAAGTTCTAAATCATTTTGGTGGAGCTCTCTGCAGCTGTTCTGAGGCATCTGCATGCTTTTCTGACCTTACCTTTCTTTCATTCAGCCGCCTCTTGCAGTAAACTCAATGCTTTAAGCAAAGAGAGGCCATGTCATCTGACCCCCTCAGAGTTTAGAAGTCAGAACAGGTCTGAAGAAGACCAGGCAGCGGCTGAGTCAAGGAAAGCCTGTTCACTTTTATTTCCCCTGTGCCTCTTCTAGGACTATGATGTGATAGCAAGCTCCCAGGGGTTACTTTGGCTGGGCTGAGCTAAAACCTCCCTGTAGAGCAGGCCCTGAGCCCTACCTCTGTGCCTTGGTGGTGCCAGCCTCTCCACCTTCTGACTGTGCCAGAAACTCTCTAAGCCCTCCCAAAGGCCTCAAGTCCTGTAACCATATGTGGCAATTTTCAGCCATGCCAGGAGAGGTCAACTGTAATCTTGGCCACCTGCCTAAGAGGAAATGGCTAGCTTCATTTCTGACCCTCAGCAACTGCCAGATGGCCTCTTGGAAATCCCCCTCCACAGGGATTCCAGCCGTTGGGTGTGAGAGCAGCAGTTAAAATGAAAAATAAGAATCTTTTGCCAGGAGAAGTCAACAGATAAGAGGAATAGCTTTTTTTTTTTTAAGCTAAATTCACTGTTAGCCAAGCAGTTTAACATGAAAGACTGAATGAACTTTTATGTTAGATATTTTCTTGTCTTTTAACTTTTATTACTATTTTTTTTCCAGATAATTGTATAAAATAACCATGGTAGTAAAATGATGTGCTCATTAGAATATAGGCAGGGAAAAACATGCTATGAAGATACTCCTATCTGGGTGAATTCTTGATAGCTTCACATTTTTCATCTGGCATTTAAACATTAAACAACTAATGTATTTGATACAAAAATTATTTCAAGATATCTTATTAGCTTTTAATAGAGTTTTAAAAGTCTTTAAAAGAGTTTTTAAAAAGCTCTAAAATCATTTTGAAATAGTTTAAGACAGTTAGATAGTTTCGAATCGTTGTAAGCTAGTTTTAACAGAGCTTTTAAAGGTCCCTAAAATAGTCTGAGTTGTTGCACACCAGAATAATCCTCCTTAAAGATCACTTTTGAAGTCAGCTGGGATAAACAATGGCAACACAATGACAAATCATTTAGCTATTTTAGAGGTTATGAAATTAAAATATTCAGATTAAAATTTTTCTAACACAGAATTAAGGTACTGGAAAATATGCTTTTTATTAATCACATTGCTATAGGTTTAGATATTTTGTACAACTGAAATATAATCATACATGGGCATTTTTGAAAATTAAAAGCATGGTCCCAAAGATATCTTATTTTTAAATCAGTTAATATACCTTAATGATATTTAATGCCATTTAATGCCAGATTCAGTCAAACTGAATTGATCAAGCCCTGAGTGGCCAGGTTATGGGTGTGAATTTTACCCTGAAAGAATTACATATTTCTTTTTTTGGATTGAGCTTTTGTTATTTGAATACATTTGATAGGAGGATATTGAAATAATTAAATAGCACTGAAAAAAAAAAAAAAGCTTTAAATTCTTTACAACCCCCTAATGGAAATTTGCACTAATGAGATATCATAATGAATGTGGCTTTTCTTTCTGAAGTCTTTAATAAGTTAGTCTTTTCACTAGTTTTCCCAGCTTAGTGCCTATTACATTTCTGTTCTATTTCTGGTAGTGGCATTATTTGTATCACTGTGCATCAGGAAAGCCGCCTATGGCAGCGTTAATCCAGCAGATGCGGGGTGGCCATGGCCATTAGCGGCAAGGCGGCTGCCCCAGGAGCGCGGTGTCATGGCCACCAAAGCCATTCAATCATGAAAGACCGCGGCTCTGTCTACAGCTCGTGGTGTCGTGGCCTTCCTGGCGGAATAAAAATGTAGACAAGTAGTAACAGAGGGTACTAAAAGAACATACTCTTTAAAATCTTTCTAATTTTTTTACAGACCCTGGATCATTTAAAAAAAATGCAAGTATTTACTTTTTTTTGCATTTAAATGCTTTACTTTGAGCTTTTGGGAATAGCCACTTTTCCACCATTACAATACGAGATAATTTCATGTTTAATCTAATGTACAAATCGGAGTTTTAAAAAAATGAGCTCTGTGAAGCCCTTATTCATACAGAATGTGTTGTTCTGAGTTTATTTCTCATGCAGACTCTAAAAACGACATTGCTGCTGATTTTCAAGTAAGTTGCCTCTTCTACATGGCAAATAGGTACACTTTACTTTTTCTTCATTTTTCTTAGGGCATGCTATTGATTTTTATAGTTGTCTGACAAAATAATTTCTCAAACAAAACGGAAAAAAACAGACTAAAAAATATATTTTTCTACTTTTCTGTATTATACATAATCAGCAACAACCAATACAATATTTGGCAAGAGTGAACAAAAATGAATTTACTTTTGCTCCGTAGAAATTCAAGGGTTCCTTTTTAGTTACACTATTTTTTTTTTTTTTTTTTGCTTTGCATCATTGAGCTTAGAACAATTTAATCTTTTTGTCTCCAAATCCATTTTTGAAGCTGAGTTTAACTTTGGCAACCCATGGGAAATCTGAAATGCCCTCATTTACCTATCTTTTCAAAACTCCTATTTAAACCTCTAAAAGTCAATACTGGCAATCAGACCTGAATTTCAGAAGGCAATAGCGAAAAATTACTTACGTTTAATCTCCATTTGGGTCCCTTGGCCGAAGGTGTTCCACAGTATTAGCTTAATTACTTCCCCCTCAACAAAAATCTCTTTTTGACATTCATATCACTAGCCTGACTGATGCAGAGAAAATCTTGCGATTTAGATGCCTCATTTAACTGACTAGCTCTTTGCTGTTCCTTAAGACGAACTAATTTTCAGACCCTTATCCATCTGACTTTTTGAAAGGATCTGGTACTCTTTGGAATTGACCTGAGCTAATCTCTCAAACATAAAAACTCCCCAAATTTACAACCTTATAAGAAAAAGCATTAGAAAAGTGCACTTACGTTTGATCTCCAGCTTGGTCCCTTGGCCGAAAGTGAGTCACAGTGATGAATCTTACCCTCTCCCCTCAACAAAAACCTCCCTTGAAGCTAATTATGTGAGATAGGCTGCTCATTCAGAGAAAAATCTAGCTATTTCTTTTCCATTTTCCCCATGAATCCAGTGATTTGTCTATTTGCTCAGCTTTTTAAGTTGATTTTCTGGTGCCCCGCTATTTACTTCTAGGTTCCCAGGTTAATTTAACCAAAATATCACAAAACTTGCACAAATGATTCAATGGCACCAAAATGTCATAAATAATTGAGACAGATGTACTTACGTTTGATTTCCACTTTGGTCCCGGGGCCAAAAGTAAATCACAGTGATTCAACTTAACTTCTCCCCTTACAAAAACCTCCCTAAAAGGTCAGCAAGCCTCCTTCCCTCACTGAAGTTATTTTGATTTAGAAATCTTAAAAATCAGCCACAAGCTAGCCTACTGTGGAATATTTTCCCCTCCTCTGTACCTAACTTGGGAATGAAGTTTGTTAGGTCCCTGACATCCAACTAATGAAAATCCACACAGAGAAACACAAAGCAATCCAATTAGACAGAAACAGCGAAGAATCAGCGAAAAAGGTACTTACGTTTGATCTCCAGCTTGGTCCCTTGGCCGAAAGTGTACACACAATGGTTCCTCTTAACCTCCCTCCTACACAAAAACTCCCTTTCTGACAATTGACCAAGGCTCTGTCCAGAACATGTTATGTTCCTCAGGACATTTTGGAAACTATCACTTAGACAAGTTATTCTCACCCAATGGCTGAATCTTGCTTGCTCTTCATATAAAATGTACAATCAATTCTCGAGTTTGCCTACAGACTTCATCTCCATATTTTCCCTGAAGGATATCAGAGTCTGATTGCAGAGTCAACTTACAGATCACTTCATAGACAGGGTACAGAAGACACAGACAACCAAGGAAGGAAAGCTTAAATTCTACTCACGTTTGATTTCCACCTTGGTCCCTTTACCGAACGTCCACCACAGTGAGAGCTCTCCACAGTCTTGCTGCACAAAAACCCTTCTCACCGAAGGGGAACGGAGCCCTGGGTTAGCTGCTGAGGTGCAACTCCCTTTTCTGGCAGGTGTGGAAGCCCTGGGGCTTCTCTGACATACCATATGTTTATTTTCTTCTGTGAGATCTAAAATCCAAGAAGAGAATATATTTATGTCTATGGCCTGATGGTTTCTTTCTTTAGCAATTTGCCACATCTGGACTTTTTATTATTTATTTGTTAGAAAGTAAACTGAGTGTAAATTACAAAGAAAAACAAGCAATTAAAAAATGGCCACTTTTTTGTGCTTTCTTTTGGGGTGGTCTGGGGAGCTTTTGCAAAGGATAAACTTCATTTAGTGTAACTATGGAAATCATCAGCTTCTCAGTGAGTAATAAATAAATGTTGTCTTACTGTTTTAACTTCTCCTTTCCTGCAGTGTTATTTTAAAAAAGGTAGACTAAATATATATCAAATTAAGACTCATAACTTTGAAATGCATTTTGAAATGTAACTATGGATGACATATGAAACCAAAGTGAAGATTAATAGAGTAGAAAAGTAGACTTGACTTGGTTTGTTTGTCTGCTGTCACAGCACAGGTAGAACTCAGCTCCTACTGAGCTGAACCAGGTGCAGGCCATCTTTGGAGCTGTCATGGAGTCCCAGTGTTCCATAGTGAACAATATGAGGTTCATAGTAACCTCATCAAGAACACTGAAGACCTTTTCAGCGTTTCCGTTTGAGTCCAACTCTCCATTTTTACAGTCTTGTATCACTCTAACTGTCCATCTCCACCCCTTCCATAAACTCCCACCTTCCTAAACTCACAGTTTTCCCGTGGTATCCAGCCTTTACAAACACTCCCTCTGCTTGGTAACACCTTTGTCCACCTGGATTGGCTTGTGAACTGCTAATTGTCTTTCAAGATTCAGCTGAAGAGGGACCTTCTCTCAGATTATCCCTGAGCAGGTGACCTGAATTTACAGAGTACAGAGACAGGTCACTGGGCCTAGAATGCCTACTTACTTTTAATCTACTTTCAGTTCTTTTCTACCCTATTAAATTATAAGCTGTTGGATGTTTTATTTGTCAAATATTTGGGAGGCTCAGTACAGTATATTTATTTAGCAAATGCTTAACAAACATTTTCAGAATGAATTAAAATAAACAATAAATAATTGAAAATCAATAATAGATCAGAGATGCTATCATAGATCAAAGACTAATACTGACCGCTACAATAGTACGTTTAACAACAGAAATCATAACTATAATTTTAAAGATTAAAGATAGGTTTATTTGATTCTGTCACTTGCAGCTTTGCTAGCTGCCTTGAATAGCAGAATCAGCAGTTGGTCTTACCAGAAGACGAGGGATGAGAGGGATCAAGTTAGAGGTGGAGAGAAACATTGGCAAGTGAAATTTAAATGTGCCAACTAGCTGTCCAAGGGCATAGTCCTTTTTTAAAGGGAACATAAAGTGATTTTCTCTGTAGACATACAAGCAATGCCAATCATAAAGGGTGATTTATGATGTTTATTGAGCACTTAAGTGCCAGACATTGTACATGGATCATCACATTTAATAATTCCCAAGACTCTATGAACTAGGGACTAATATTATCCTCTACTCTGTAGGTGCAAAAACTTGAGGGCAGAGAGGTCAAGGAACTGGCTTACGGCAGTAAGTGGCAGAGCTGGGACCTAAACTCAGAGCCCATGTACTTAACTGCACCATATGCAGATTATACTCCAGGAGTAAAGTTACCCAATGGAAGCAGCAGCATGGCAGGGAATGCTGGGATGGGGGAAGGTGAAAGAAAATCGGACTGGAATAAGTGTGCTCAGAGGTATGTATATAAAGACTATACATGGAAATATTGTTTAAAAGGTGAAAAACTGAAAAATAACTAAAATCCTCATTAATAGGAGTTTGGTTAAACTATGATAGCGCCTTACAATGTAGCACAAAGCAGACAATAAGAGGAAGTTGTAGGTTTCTGTATAGTTACATGGAAGGTGTTTGTGAAAATGCAGGTCACTGAGGAGTATGTGTGGTGAGATATCATGATTCCATCTAAATTGATTATATCTGCCTATAAACGCAGGCTGATTTTTAAAGGACACATAAATTGTTCTTGGTAGTTATTTCCTGGGATTGCAGAGGAGGAACAATGACACTTTCTCTTCCTACTCTTCTATATATCAGAGATTATTTGATTTCAAAATGGTTATGTGAATATATTCATTTTATAGTTTTTAGAAATAATAAAACTACTATTTTGAAAAAAAAATGTAAACTCTGACATTGCTTAGTAGCATTCTCAATATTTCCGTGCAATGCATAAACATAGCTTTTTAAATGATGTGTACATATACGTGTGAGTTTTCTTCGTCCAATACTTTTCTGTAGTCTTTAAATCAAGGCAACAGCTTTCCTGATTTAGTGTAGGGGAGAGTCTTCTGCAAATGAAGGAGACGTAGGGGATATAAACAGGAATGAAAAAGATGCCCGAGCTGTTGGAGGGATTTGTGTTCCTAAGTGAGCTAATTGGAAATCTAGTATGAACAGTGCAACCGAATAACTATTGTGAAGCAGTATTTTTAACCAACAAAAGATGATTATCTTAAGTACCATTGTGGCAAAAACTATTTTACTGATCACATGCAGTGGTGATCTATAGGAGTGATTGTTATGATATTTGCTGTAACGTAAAATGGATCATGAGAATCATGAGAAGTATTTGAGATCCTTAGGATATGTGTGGTTCGTGTTTTGAAAGCAAATGGTGTCTCAGAAGCATCTGTGAGGCTCTGCCAGGATCTACCATTCTACAAAGCATCTATGATGGATGTTGATAAGCTTGATTTGTTGAGGAAAGGCAAAGTGTCAATAAGGTAGTCTGAGAGGTTCCTGGATTTCATGTATAAGAGTGATGGAAATACAGTTTCCTGAGGAGCATTCCAACCAACTCATCACTGAATCTGCTTTACATTGAACCCTCAGCAAAGTTAGATTATCAGAAAAAAAATTCTGAACTGCTGTGGAAGGGAGAGGAAGGAAAGGCATGGAGGGAGGGAGGCAAGGAGCAGAGAGAGAGAAAGGGAGAGAGAGGAGAGAGAGAGAGCACAAGTCCACATTTCAATGCACATCTACAAATAATGTTGAACACTACTGATAAGCTCTTTTAGCAATGTTCCTTAAGTATAACTTTTCAAGAAACATCATTTTTGCTTTTTATTTGAGATAATTACTAGCCAATTTAGGAAGTTCCCCTCACATCAGTAACATACAGTGAATCACCCGGTATGTCAGGGGACACAGTGGCATAATATTGCCTTTTGCAAGGTTTGAGGGCAAACCATGGCAGTTTCCCTACCTGACTTGGGAGTTCTGTAGCTGATATCCATCTTCAAGTTTGTGGTTCTTTCTCTTTATATATGTATTTGAGCTCAGCAGTCATGCTGGAGTCCAGAGCAGGTGGTTCTTTTTGCTTTAGCTTGACTCCTCCTTAAGATTGTAACTCTGTCATTTTAATATATTTTTTTGGTCAGAAGTAAGTTGATATCTGACAAGGAGCGGAGGAAATTCAGTGGTTCACATCCAGTGGTGCTTAGAACCTGATTGAATGTCATTCTTTCCAGAACTTGTCAGGAGTGGATATCTGTCCAGGATCTCCGAGAATCCAGGGTACCCCGTTAGCCAGGAAGGAGCGAGATAGAGGAGGTCACTTGAGAAAGAGCTGCTTCTTTGCTGCATCAGGGTTGTGTCTGTTTCCTCTCTTATTTCAAGACAGATGTGCTGGTAGAAACAAAGTCCTCTGTCCGGCCATATGCAAATGTGTGGGCCATAAATATGAAAAGAGATTCTGGTCCCACTATAGAAAATGTAGATGTTCATCTTGTTTCCAAGAGGACAGTAAGGCTGCTGGTATTTTTTGACTGCCTTCCTTGAGAGAGAAGAGATAGCAGCAATTGTGTAAGGGTTTACTAGCCTAGGAGGAATTCAGCCATCAAAATTTACATATTCTGTGCTGTGGTTTTTGCTTCATTTTGCAAGAGGAATGAGCCCCTCAAGCTCTGCCTTAGAGTTCTCTGCCCTCCCTGTCTGCCTACTTGGCACCCAGCCCCTATGTTCTCTTCTCATGTTAAGGTATAGAAGCTCATCATGGGCAACTACTGTGGTCAGGCTGGCTCTGGATGCAGTTGTGAAGTCAATGAGTTTGGGCTTGGTTCTTCAGACCCCCAAAGGCCCTGATAATCCTGGCTGAGACTAGAGTTTCAAGTCTGAAAGGGAGGATAGGAGGCAGACAGCCCAACAGAAACAACAAATGAACAACAGATGGAAACAAGGAATAATGAGGATTTTTGAGTTTATTAGCATGTTCTCTACTCTTTCAAAACCTCTTTTGCGCCGGGCATGGTGGCTCACGCCTGTAATCCCAACACTTTGGGAGGCCGAGGCGGGTGGATCACGAGGTCAGGAGATCGAGACCATCCTGGTCAACATGGTGAAAGCCCGTCTCTACTAAAAATACAAAAAATTAGCTGGGCATGGTGGCACACTCCTGTAATCCCAGCTACTCAGGAGGCTGAGGCAGGAGAATTGCCTGAACCCAAGAGGTCGAGGTTGCGGTGAACCGAGATCGCGCCATTGCACTCCAGCCTGGGTAACAAGAGCGAAACTCTGTCTCAAAAAAAAAAAAAAAAGCCTCCTTTGCAATGATGGAAGAAATATAAAAATGATAATGAATTTATTTAGTAGTTGGAAAATCATGAGAGGTCCTATTAGAAGAAAAATTTTGAGGTACACCACAGAGGTTTAAACCATGTCATTGAATTCATAGGGAAACTGGAATCTAGAAACTGGAATCTAGCAAATGATAAAGTTTAAACCATGGATAAGGAGGTACAGTATCATCTCCTTATCCATGGTTTTGCTTTCTGGGGTTTCACTTACCTATAATCAACTGTAGTCTGAAAATATTAAATAGAAGATTCTAGAAATAAGAATTTACTCATTTTAAATTGTATTCCTTAGTAGCCTGATGAAATCTCATGCCCTTCTGCTTCATCCTAGCTTGGGACTGAATTATCCCTTTGTCCAGAGTCTCCATGCTGTCTACACTTACCCTCCTATTTAGATGTTTAGTAGCCCTCTTGGTCATCACATTGACTGTTATGATATCCTACCTAGTGTTTGCATTCAAGTAACTCTTATTTTACTGAATTGTTCTATTTTATTACAAGTTATTGTTGTTAATTTCTTACTATGACTTATTAATACATTTTATCATAGGTAAGTATGTATAGGAAAAAACAGCATATATAGGGTTGTGCACTAGCATCCACTGGGAGGAGAATTTTGCTAAAGTTAGTACAGAGAAGACTGTCCAGAAGAAACAACTTTCTGGCTGGGAGCGGTGGCTCATTCCTGTAATCTAAGCACTTTGGGAACCTGAGGCAGGATGATCATCAGGTCAGGAGTTTGAGACCAGCCTGGTCAACATAGTGAAACCCCATCTCTACTAAAAATACAAAAAATTAGCCAAGCGTGGTGGCAGGCACCTGTAATCCCAGCTATTCACGAGGCTGAGGCAGGAGAAGTGCTTGAACCCGGGAGGTGGAGGTTGCAGTGAACTGAGATCATGACATTGCACTCCAGCCGGGGTGACAGTGCAAGATTCTGTCTCAAAAAAAAGAATTTTCTATACTTGCCATCTTCCTTCTGTTTGATGTCCTCATGTAAGTCTCAGTGTTACGATCTGTCTCCCCACCTCAATCACTACCCTCTGTCTCTGGAAGGAAATTCCTCTTGGGCTAGACAGGAGAGAGCCAGTACCTACTCTGGAAAATTTCATAAGATGTCTGGTTCTCTACCTTTTTCAGGGATCTTTTATCATATCTCATATGCCCATGGCATTTGTCACTGCTATCTGCACAACACTGAACTCCAGCAACATCAGCTGAGAAGAGAAAGTGAGAGCGAGAGAGAGAGAGACAGAGAGAGATAGAGAAGTCATTTGTTGATTGAACCACAGAAACTATTTTTTTCCTAATTAAATTATATATCCAGGTAGCTATCATATGATACAATCCCAAATACACATATTTATTAAATAGGATTCAAAGAGCAATTATTGAGTACTCAGTATCAAGGCTCAATGTAAAATAAATGCAAAATTACTGGTGATTGTCATGTCTTTCTGTGGGACTCAACTCCCTTTGGTTGGAGGTGCTGTGTGGGAGTACATGAGCTCCAATCAGGTGGTCCTGAGGGAGCAAAATGCCACTGTTGGAGGTTAAATATGAAGGGAAACAGCAGTAGGCTTCGGATAACACAGAATGAAAATAAAAGTGCATATACTTCTAGTGTCTATTTTACAAATTCCTTTTTTTTTGGGGGGGGGAGGAAGGCAGGAAGGGAGGGAAGAAGGATGGTAGGGAGGAAGGAAGGGAGGAAGGAAGGAAGGAAGGAAGGAAGGGAGGGAGGGAGGGAGGGAGGGAGGGAGGGAGGGAGGAAGCGGGGAGGGAGGGAGGGAGGGAAGGGAAGGAAGGAAATCAAGCAATGAGAGAGACATTGCCGACCTGGATCTAGAGGTTTACAAGTTGATTTCTTTTTTTTGAGAGAAGGAAAGAAAAAAAAATAAGTAAAGGAGAGGAAGAAAGAGGAAGAGAAAGAGGGAGAGTAAATGGAAATATTGCTTTATTTTGAAAAAAATTGAGTATTAATAATGGCCAATCAATGTTTCATTTAAACTTATGGGTAGGTGTGATGTGGTATTGACAAGAATGTATATTTTGTGTATTTGAAGTGGAGAGCTCTATGAATATTTATTGTTTACTTGTTCTGGATCTGAGTTCGAGTCCTTGATATCCTTATTAACTTTCTGTCTCATTGAATCTAAGTCTCGTATCTGGGTGTTAGGATCGTTAGCTCTTGTTGTTGCATTGATCCTTTTACCACTATAACTTTGTTGCTTTAAAATCTATTTTCTCCGATACGAGAATTGCAACTCCTGCTTTTTATTTATTTATTATTTATTTTTGCTCTCCATTTGGTTGGTAAATCTTTCTCCATCCCTTTGTTTTGAGTCTTTGTGTATCCTTGCATGTGAAACAGGTCTGGATGTAACATGCCGTTGGGTTTTGGCTGTGTCTTTTGATTGGGGGATTTAGTCAATTTAAATTTAGGGTTACTGCCATTTGATGTTGACTGGCTGTTTTATCCATTTGTTGGTGTAAATTCTTCTTTATGTTGGTGCTCTTTACTTTTTGGTGTATTTTTAGAAAGGCTAATACTGGTTGTTTCTTTCTGTGTGTAATGCTTCTTTCAGAAGCTCTTGTAAAGCAGGCCTGGTGGTAATAAAATCTCTGAGTTCTTGCTTGTTCATAAAAGATTTTATTTTTCCTTCAGCTGTGAAGCTTAGCGAGAGCGCTCAGCGCAGAGTAAACAGGACCGGTTTCCCTTCTGACTGAGGTTTGGAGCCCCAGGAAGGCAGAGTCGCCTACTATGGACACAAGAAGGAAGCCAGACAGGAGAATCCTGGGCAGAAAAGCACCATCAGTTTTAACGCCGCTGCTCTGGCCCTGGGAACTAACAACCGGGATGCCCACTCAAGAGACCTAATCTGAAAGTTGGTAATTTCAAAGAGACAGGAGGATAAACTTACAATGACGGGAAGAGACCAGCGTAAAAAAGCTGAGAATACTCAAAATCAGAACGCCTCTCCCTCTAAAGATGATCACAGTTCCACATCAACAATGGAACAAGGCTTGATGGAGAACGAGCGCATCCCAATGACAGAATCACTCTTCAAGGAATGGATAATAAGAAACTTCGGTGAGTTAAAAGACCATGTTGTAGCCCAACGTAAAGAAACTAGGAACTTTGAAAAAAGGTTTGATGAAATCCTATTGAGAATAGACAACTTAGAGAGGAGTATGAGTGAATTAATGGAACTAAAGAATACAATACAGGAACTCCGAGAAGTATGCACAGGTTTAAACACTCGAATTGTTCAAGCAGAAGAAGCGATATCAGAGGTCAAAGTCCAACTTAATGAAATAAAATGTGAAGAAAAGATTAGAGAAAAAAGGATAAAAAGGAATGAGCAAAGTCTCCAAGAAATGTGGGGACTATGTGAAAAGACCAAATTTATGTTTGATAGGTGTACCTGAATGCGACAGAGAGAATGAATCCAAGCTGGAAAATACCCTTCAGGATATTATTCAGGAAAATTTTCCTAAACTAGCAAAGCAGGTCAAAATTCAACCCCAGGAAATACAGAGAACACCACAAAGATATTCCTCAAGAAGAGCAACCCCAAGGCACATAATCGTTAGATTCACCAGGGTTGAAACGAAGGAGAAAATACTAAGGGCAGCCAGAGAGAAAGGTCATGTTACCCACAAAGGCAAGCTTATCAGACTTAAAGCAGATCTCTCAGCAGAAACTCTACAAGCCAGAAGAGAGTGGGGGCCAATATTCAACATTCTCAAAGAACAGAACCTTCAGCCCAGAATTTCATATCCAGCCAAATTCCTTTTTTTTAAAAGGTCAGATTCTCAACTTGTAACTTGTGAAATTCAGATCATAGGATGCCCTGTTATTTATAAGGTATCCAGCAACAATGCGTGGAACAGAATATTTAACTATTATAAAACTTACATTAGGTTGTTGCAGAAGTAATTGCCCTTCCTTCCTTCCTTCCCTCCTTCCTTTCCTCCTTCCTTCCTTCCTTTATTCCTTCCTTCCTTCCTTCCTTCCTTCCTTCCTTCCTTCCTTCCTTCCCTCACTCCCTCACCCCTTCTCTTTCTTCTCCCCTCCCCTCCCCTCCTTTCTCGTTCTTGTGTTCCAGGACCATTTAGTGTCGTCTACAGCTCCCAGAAAAAGAATTCTGTC